ATTATTTTTTCCACATTGAACTTTGAATGTCATAAATTAGTTCAATCTGGCCTTTGGACTAACATTCGTTTTAGATTCCATTAAAAATTGATGCAAATGTCACTTAAGAATATAAATTGTGAGTTTAAATTTTGCCCAAGAGCAATATACGTAGATGACAAGTACATCAATTTTTAACGAAATCTGAAATAGATGTTAGTCTGAAGATCACATTGGAAACAATTTATGACATTCAGGGTGCAATGTAGGAAAAATAATTTTTTGGGATGTAAAGTAAGATTTGAGATATCTTTTGAGATGTAAAGTGCGAAAAATAATTTTAAGGCGAGAGGTCCATCCTGGACACTTTTAAAGCGAAAGGTCCAAAAAATACATAGTTGACAAAAATACTCTTACTAATATAAGTGGCTACTATACGAAAAGTCACTTTTTTAGAAAACAACATCCAGTCCCACAAAATTGCATCGCGCCCAAACGATTCACTCAAAAATTTTCCTATTGCAAAATCTTTCAATATAAATTTAGCATCAAATCAACAGAAAATTGATTTTACAGAGAACGCCAAAACGACTGTTCTTTGACAATCGCAGAAGCAAAACTTTTCGATTTTTGACAAGAATCATCTACAACTTCCATCAACTATTGTTCCATTGTTCCTGAAGGAATCTCTTTGTCCAGTGAATTATTCTACAATATAAGATTTCAAGTAAGTGGATTCTAATTTCTTTGAGTTGTTTTCTTCCATAGGGTTTTAGAGAAATTAGTTTTCCTTGTTTTGATGAACATATAAAGCACAAAAAGAATAGTTCACTTTGCTTAAAGTATAGTAATACAAAAAATAACCTCTACCATTTATTCACTGACATTCCCCTGAATAATCACTAAATTAATACACCAATTGCAAAATGAAACCCTAACATTTTTCATTGTAATATAACTTATATATATGTACATTAAATTCCATTTTATTCCTACTTAATATTAGATAAAATTTTGTTCACTGTCACGTTTAAGAATCACACGTGAAGATTTTTTTCCAAATGCTTCGATGTGTGTGCGTAGGCATAATAACTAAAAAAAATCACAAGGCCTCACTGCATAAATAATATTTTTGATTCACTGCCTGCCTTAAGAATCAGATGTAAGATTTTTTTTTTTTTTCAAATGCTTCACGTGTGGATATAATCAAAAAGACCTCACTGCATAAATGACATTTTTGATTCACTATCTGGTTTAAGAATCACATGTGAAGATTTTTTTGCATATGCTTCAAGCAATGAGTATAATCAAAAAATCAAAAAGGCCTTACTGCATAAATGACATTTCTGGTTCAATGTTTATTTTAAAAATCACATGTGAATATTTTTTTGCATATGATTTAATGTGTGGATAGAATCAAAAATAGCAAAATCCCTTAGTGCACAAATGACATTTTAGGTTCACTGTTTTGTTAAAAAATCACATGTGAATAGTTTTTTACATATGGTTCACTATTTGGGTATAATCAAAAAAGCAAAATCCCTTGGTGCATGAATGACATTTTAGGTTCACTGTTTTCTTAAAAAATCACATGTTAATAAGTTTTGCATATCATTCACTGACTAGATATAATAAAAAATAAAATAAAAAGTCTTACTTTATGAATGACATTTCTGGTTTACTGTCTTATTCAAATTCTTAACAAATGAAGGAATGGGCAGGAAACATGTTCCAAAACTAAACTTGTATGAGTTAAGATGACGTAGAGCCAAAAAAAAAAAAAAGTGATGCCACCACAAAAGAACGTGCAACAGCTACAAGGAGAAGAAGAAATTACCTACCCCAGTACAGATCAAATATGCAAGCACTCGTAAAGGTAATTCAAAATTGGAAATTACTTCCAATTACATCGAAGAACTGAAGAAAACTCTATTCTAGCAGCTATTTGAGGCAATCATATAGGAAAAAATTGAGCAGTCTGTGCCTAAAAAGAGTGATGACAACATTGTCTCTGTTGTCCTAACTTATGACTAAAAAGGCTTTGGTTTCTTAATTGGAAAGAAACAACTAAGAGTCACTAGTGATGATGTTGCATCGATTTTTGGAATATAAGATGGTGGAGAGAGAGATATATATTGATGTGTCAGAGACAAAGAAGATCGATTCTGATTTTTTTAAAAGAAGGTTCCTGAATCAAAAGAGATTAAAAGATGCAGTTATAAAAGAAATGTTAGAAGAGGTATCCAAAGGAAAAACAAAAAATGATGTTGAACAATTTTGAAATAATTCTATGTCTGTATGCATTTTTCACATTGTTTTTTCCAACAAGTGGTCAAGTTCTTGGTTGGGGATATGTTCATCATGTTGATGATCTGAACCAAATGAAAACATATGCCTGGTCCAAAGCAATTGCTAGCAGAATGATGAACTCAATGAACTTGAAATATCAAAACCTAACAAGAGTCGTTGACTGTGTTCTAGCACTCATAGTAAGTGTTCTAATAAATGTAGTTTCACTTATTTTTCATTATAAAATAAAGTTCATCTTTATGACAATACGATTTGTTCACTGTTACCAAACTTCATTACAATATTAGGTATTTGTGTAGTATTGTTTGTGTGAACACAACAATAATAAATCCATGCAACTGACATGCATTTCCCAGGTTTATGAAATGGAACTTTGGAAAGTTGAATTCTGCAATAAACAACAATGCACTTAATCAATTAACTTTCCAAGACGTAAAACAATCCCATTTTATGTCAAACAGATAGTTCTCTATTCCAAATCATAATCTTCTTCTTACATTTTTTATTCTACAACTATCATAAAGGTGAAAGTGAATGAGTTGAAAATAACAAAAAAGAAAATGAATTCTACTCAAGTGCAGGAAAGAAATAGACAAGAGAAATTCAAGAGGAACAAAAAATAGCAGAAGAATTGGAACAAATGTAAACCCCACACTTTTATCTTTATATATGTATATAGGTTTATATAGCAAGTAATTATTTCTTTTGAAATGTTGATGTGAAAAAAATTCGAGTAAATAGTAGTTAAAATGTAGTTTTAACTTGCAAATATATGAAATCGTTGTAATAGAACTTGTACCAACTAGGTTTGATGTACAAAAGTATGTTATATAAGTTTAGGTTAGAATTGGAAGGGTTTGGAATGGATTGAAAATGAAGAAGGGAAGATTAGTAGAAAAACAGGCAAAACCTTCCGGAAGGTCGATAACAAACCTTCCGGAAGGTTAAGGAAAATGTTGTCCAGTAGACAAACCTTCTGGAAGGTTAATGTAAATGTTCTTCTGGAAGGTTAATGTGAATGTTTATCTAGTGGGAAAAGCTTTCTGGAAGGTCGATGACAAACCTTTCGGAAGGTTAATGAAAATGTTAATCTTCCGGAAGATTAATAAAAAGGTTTGTCTAATAGGCAAACCTTTCGGAAGGTCGATGTAAAACCTTCCGGAAGGTCTTCGAAAATTCTGAAATTTTAAGTCGCGAACAACCGGCTTTCCTTCCACTATAAATACCTAAGGACGTCCCATTTAGCCCATTTCAACATCTCTAACCCTAGAAAACCTTAGAGAGGAAGAAAGGAAGAGAAAAACACAAGATCAAAGGGGATTTCCACTTCAAGAAGATCAAAACCCTAGTCTTTCAAGAACACTAAGGTAGGGTTTCTTCCTATTCTCTTACATTGAGGCTAGGGCTTATCTATATGTATTCTTTTGACTTTAAATCTTATATATAAGCTATGAAATCTTTCTTTCTTGGTATCCTTGCAAAGACCACCATGTTTTAAGCAAAGTAATGGTTAGATAACAATTAAATCTTTTTTTTTGGCATAAAACCTTAGTTTTCAAGATAAATGAATTTTCCTCTTGATTTTTCTTTTGTTCTTGATTTCGAAACCCTAGTGCTTTGTGTTGAGTAATGAAATGATGTTGTGATGTTCTCTTGCTTATTTTCTTAAATTGTCCTCTTGTATTACATATTGTAAAAATTGGGGATTTATGATTTACTTTTGATTTGAGAATTTGGTTGAAATTGCATCTCTTGTATGGTTGTTGTGATGGACTTGAATTGCATTCAAGTACTGCCATAGAGTGTTAGAGGTTAGTCTATGCCAATGGGGGTGAGATAGTTTCCTAACACTTGTAGTGGTTTATTATTTGTGAGAGAGATCACTATTGTTCACATAAGTTCGAGGCTAAGGGATAGGTATACCTTTCCTGGGAAAGATTCGTCAATACCGTGGGAGACGGTATACGCCCATCCTAAAGTGGTTTGTGTGGTTATAATTGGGTGAACGAGGTAGAGTCGTGGTGTAGATTCATAGAAAATAACCAACATACTTGAGAATATGGGATGACACTATTAAACGATTATGGTTATTGTGTGGAATTGGTTTCCTACAAGAGTTTGTGGAGGTATGAGACTCTACAAGAACTTGTGAGAAATAGATTATGGTTGAAAATGGTTTATTGTTGAAAAATTCATTTTTACTGTTCATTTAAATTATTGCTACTGCGTAAACTTTATATCCGTTGAAATGTCCCGATTTTATTTCAAAATTGATATATGATATTTGCAAAATGAGGCCGACTTGCTTTATACGTTTTCTAAACCTTGTTCGAGTTTGAGAGGAATGTTGCTACAGAGCTTAGTGCTCACCCCCTACAAACTATATATTTTTTAGATTGTGGTCTAGACGAGAAGCTCGGAGTTGATGAGCTGATACATGGGGAAGCTCCACTAGACGGGCTCGTGGATCCCAAGGTGGACTTCTAGGGTTATACTCTCCTAGGAGCTAGACTAGAAAATTTCTTTTGAGATTATGTAAAGACAAATCTTTTGTTAATTTCCGCTGCGAGAAAATAGTTGATTCTGTTGGGATGTAATAGCCATGGTTGGCCTATTCTTTTGGGATGATATTATAAATGTTATATTTGATGGATGAAACTTATTTAATGATGAATATATTTAGTTGCTCTCATGATGTGAATGGTTTTTAGATTGTAATGCCGTCCAAGGTGGGTTTTGGGGCGTTACAACAAACATCTGAAGAAATTGAAATGCATCAACTAGATGATACTGAAGATAAAGAACATGAAGTCCAAGATACGGAAGATAAAGAAATCCAAGTAGAAGAGAAAGAAAAGTTAGAATGTGAAGAAGAGGAAGAGGTAGAAGATAATGAACAATTTGTGATAAAGAACAGAAAGAAAAAAGGGAAAAACCAAGTTTTGTTAGAAAGCAGTGAAGAATCAGAAGAGGTGGATGAATGGAGAAACCATGCTCAACAAATTTATGACTATGAACAAGACAATGAACAAGCAAGCAATGAACAGATGGAATCCAAACCATAAGAGCAAATGGATGAAGTCACACACTTGACATTGGAAAGAGATACACCATTAGAATTAAATAGGTATCTCATAAAATAATATGATATAGCAAAGGAACAGATTGAATCAATGAAGGCTAACATTATAAAATAAGAAGAATAGAGTGAACATCAAAAGTCTAAAATGCTAATATTCAAAAAGGATAAGGAGGAAGCAAAGAAGAAAAATTAACAGCTGATTGAGGAATCTGGAAAAGTAATGGAAGAGTTGATCTTGATGAGAGTTGAAAAAAAAACTTTGAAAGATCAGATTGAGAAGTTAAGAGTAGAAAGGGAACAAGAACAGAAAAATGCACAACATGAAGACAGTGAACAACAGAAGTCTGTAACAAATATAAACGACAGTGAATAATTTAGTGTTGAAATAATGATATTGAAAGTGGAAAAAGAGGAAGCATTGAAGACAATAGAAGAAATAGATTTCATCAGGGATGAAAATCAAAAAAAAAATTTTGGAGGGGGAAAAAGAGAGGGGGAGGGGGACTTGATCCCTTGACTTCAAGAAGGCAAAACTTCGACAAGGTAATGAGTACCATTGGACCAAAGGCCCACTGGTTGAAAATAAAAAACTAAAGAATGAGATTTTGAAGATGAAAGAAGACAGTGAACAACATAAACAAGACAGTTCACAGCAAAATAGTGAATCAACAGTATTGAAAAATGCATTGGAAAGTCTAAAAATCTCAATTGTAGAAAAAAAATAAATTAATCAAACAGTTGGAAGCCTTGGTCAAAAGACTAAATAATGACAAAAAATCTCATGACATAATCTTGGATGAATTTGGAAAAAATTTCAAATGACTATTGGATGAGAATAAATCTCTTCAAGATCAGCTGGATGACATGGTTGCACAATCTGTGACACAACAATTAGAAGAAGCGGGCAAAAATGATATTCCAACAACTGAGTAGAGATCCATGGTGAAGGCAATATAGAAGAAGGAAAGAAAGAGAAAAAGAGACCCAAACTTAGAATACTCTGCAAAGAAAAAGCAAAGATGATCAAAGATTGTAAAAGATCCACCATTTACAAAAAAAGAAAAAAGAAAAGAAAAGAGAAGATAGTAAAGAATCCAAAAATCATGAATGTGGATGACATCCAACAGCATACTTATAGAGATTTCAAGAACAAGAAAAAAATACTTACACTCATTTGGACATTGCTAGTTTGCAAACTTCTCAAAAAAGAAGATTTTGAAAAACTTCAGCTAATAATGTTGGAGGAAAGAGAATCATGAGTCAAAATACAAATTATACTTAATTAATACCTCTATAACTGTTATACACTTATACTTGAAACATCAACACATGCAGAGCACAAGTATGGAATGACTCAAAAACAGGAAGATACATTGGGATTGAAGACAAACTCTTGCTACTAAATGACTTGCCCATTGCAAATAATGTGAGGACATAATTCATGTTCTTGATGAAAGAACATAATAATAATGAATTCATGTTATTCTTTATGTATTAACATTTTTAATGGTCACTATTCATATTCAAAAGATTATTGACTGCTGGGCAGAGTTACGATCATAAGAATAGGACAAATTTGACAAAGAAATAACAATTGGAAAATCATGTTTCTTCAATAGTCTATCTTTGGTAAGAAAATAATTCATAATCCTATAGTTTGATTGAAAAAATGTCAAAATAGGATATGTCAATGATCCAATTGGACTTGTTAATGCAGGCGTGGCCATGAAATAGTCGTAGCATTGATTTGGGCTAGATTTTGCCTTGTGATGGCGACCTTTTTCATAGTGAACATTATTATGGGGAAAATTATTTTTTGGTATTACAATAATCTGTTTTGTAGGGTGGATAAAAAAATGGAAGGATAAAAAGTGAGAGTAATATAATTTCTATCAGTCAATGGAGAAATCATTTCTTTCCTCTTTTGTATTTGGTAAGAGAGATGAAGATTTTTTTTGGAAAAGGTATAAATACATATTTTACCATTATATCTATATATGAAATTAATGTATACATATAATAATATAAAACAAAACAGACTTCTATAAGCTCATTTGACGGTCTCAAATAGACTCATCCAACGACCACCAACATCCTTCTCAAAACCATTCACATTGCACCGTACTTTTAGACACTGGTTATATATATATATAAACAAAAAACATATATTTTGATAATGATGAAATTTTATGTATGGGCCGCCATAATCAAAGAGCCCAATAAGTCCAGGAGACCCTTATTCACGTAGTGGCCCAAATGGAGCGCCCATAGCCTGTCCATGCCAAGAGCAGGGTGGACCGAGCCCATAGGGTAAGGCCCAACGTTACTAGAGGACCTGAACTCCAGTCCAACCCCAGTCCAACTCAACCGAAGGTTAGCTTGGGATAAAGGAGCTCGGTCCAATGCTTATCCTAAAGCACTCCTGCCACGCCACATGTCCTGAGGCCAAGGGGACCACTTCTGATGCTTGTAACGAACACGCACTCCCTGGTACAGAGAATATTGGTGCGTATAACCGTTTAGAGGTTGTGGGTAGAGTGGCGTCGTGTGACAGAGGTCGATACATGACAAAAGTAGAAAGACCCACAAAATCAACAGAAAGGAAAAAGGAGCCGCAGGAAACCCTATTAGGATCACTTGTATAAATATGACACTATTACACTACAGTAGATACAAACATCTTCTTCCCCCATTACCTGCTCTACTTGCAACTCTATTAAGCTTGTAATCTCCAAGCATTCTATGGAAAAGGCTGTAAGCCAAGGGAACTATTGAACTAATTCTCTTCAAGCAACATACATCCCCTAAGGAGCAAGAGACTCCATTACAGTGGGTGTAGCCTTGGTTTTTCAACTAAGGAGAGCCACTTACATTGTGTTCTATTTTTCTATCATAATTTTACCCATTTCTAGTCCATACATTTGTTCTACACCTATCTGGACCATCTGACTAAGGTTCTGGACTTGGATCAACATTTTCGTGCACCATCAGTTTGGCGCCGTATGTGGGAAAGATTTTCATTGTTTCCTTGAAGTTTTCTTCATACTTTTCTGTTTGTTTGATGGTTTCTACTCGGAATATGAGTAAATCTCATGCTAACCCCCAAGTTCATCAGAACCCACTAACAAACCTCCCCACCCTCACGGCGAACGTCAAAGTTCATCCTCCGGTGGTAGATCCACCTCCACTAAATGAGTTGGAAACCTACCGACGAACCACCATGTAGCTTATAAAGCAGAATCAAGACTTGTTAACATGGATTTAGTCTCATCACCTACCACAGATCCCACCAATGCACTACGAGCCTCCTCAACCAGCACAGCACGACGTTCCTCCATAGAACCATCAGGTGCCACCCAACGGAGTCACATAACTCCATGAGCATAGCCACTCTAGAGAGAACCATCGGAGGAGATATCTGAACAAACGAGTAGAAGACAAAGCCCACAGCTGGCCTCGACCTATTCATCAAGACGACAGATCCTTTCCTCCGCCTGACGCCACAGATCACTTCTTGGAATAAAGTCTTCGCGAGATCCAGCAAGTGTTGGGGAACATGAAAAAGTGGTTAAGGGAAAAGCCCCCGACACCATGGACACTATAGGCCAGCAGATTGAGTCACCCCTCACTCCTGAAATCCTACATTTTCCTCTCCCTAAAAAATTCTGAATGTCGTCGATAGAGGCATTTGACGGAACCAAAGACCCAGTGGGCCACCTCAACTCGTACAAGAATCAAATGGAGTTACATGGGTACCCATATCCCATTCGCTGCTGATCTTTCACCATTTCCCTCAAAGGGTTAGCAATAGCTTGGTTCAACAACTTGCAGCCAACCTCGATCTCTTCTTTCAGAGAACTATCTATAAAGTTCGTATCGCATTTCATCTGAACCAGAACATACAGGAAGCCTTCCTACCATATTTTAAGCATTACATAGGGACCCAATGAGTCCTTCAGGAGCTAAGTACAATGTTTCAATCAACAATGCTTAAAAGTGGAATGTGTGGGCAACAAGTTCGCACTGACCACATTCATGTCCGGCCTCGGCATCCAATCGAAGGACCTCTTCTTCTCAATTGCCAAGAACCCTCTAGCCACTATAACTGAGGTACTCGCAAAGGCATAAAAATACATCAATGGCGAGGAGGCCCTTCACCTAAAAAGAGGGTTGACATCTGTAGAAGGAGAAAAAAGGAAGAGGGATCGTTGTCCCAGGAAAGAGAAAAAACATGACTGGTCTCCACCTAGGGATTGTTCCCCAAAAAGAGAAAGAGAGCTTTCTCCAAAAAAGAGAGGCAATGTTAGAGATCACTTGGGACTTCCACCTCAAGAGCTATAGCCCTGATATGGTCCAGCACGCCTCCCGCCCACCTCTATCGCACAGGTCCTACATGACGTCTAGAATGAGAGATTCATCCGATAGCAACCTCGGATGAAATCTAATCCCAGGATGCAAGACGCCTCCAAATATTGTGAGTTCCACAAAGACACTAGCCATGCGACGAATAACTGCATCCAGCTGAAAAAAGAAATAGATTATTTGATCTAGAGGGGGCACCTGCGCCATTATGTGGTAGGAGAAGGGAGAGAACAAAACGATCAGGGCCGAGATGCCCGAGCTGTCGCTCCACCACCACCAGTAGTCTAGGCGGATAGGGAGGTGAAGACCGTTCTCAAATGAGCCTTCAAAGAAGCAAACCTCCCGTGGGAGGGAAAGGTTACAAGGTTCATCAGGAGTGGGAGCCCTGACTGTTAAATCATCAGGGAAATCAAACCGTCTCCTCACCTACTCCACATCAAAGGTAGCAAACAATGAAGGAAGCAAAAAGATTGATTACCTGGAGTCGTTAAGCATAGCACAAGAACGTTGTTTGAATAGGGAAGAAGGAGCCATGAGGTCCAAAAATAAGCGAAGTGTAAAAGATCTCTGAGAACAAACAAAGAGCAAGAAGGTTTCTGGGAAGTAGTAAGAACGTGAAGAGCTTGAAGTACCAAGAAACAAATAGCATGCAGAAGTGAATAGATGACTGTTAAACTTCTACAATCATGACAATAATCAATGATAACGGTGCATAGGTAGGTAAAGGTTGGTGGGCCATCAGTTGGTTCATTTAAGAGCCTTTACCTTAATCTGTGCACTTCGACTCAAGAACGTGCAGCAGCAAAAGAAGTTTCTGTAATACCGCTTAAGGGCAAAATTGAGCAGAGCATACAGTCGAGCAGACCTAACTAAGGAACGACACAGCCCAGGATAGAACAACTCAGGATCATACAAGTCAGGTTGCGAGCAACAACACTTCATCACAAAAAAAAATTATCATACTCCAAATAGGTCAAGACCTCCTTGGAGTAGAGGGCAAGGGAACATGACTAGCAATCAACAACACTTCATCGCAAAAAGGCGACTACATTAAAAAAAGGGAAAATGTCTACAAGTATCAAAGAAAGTTACAAAAAAAAAAGTTGATCTTCAAGGATTAGATGATGGAATTGCACCAGGAAGACCACCATTGGAAGGACCACCTAAAGGAAGACCAAATCATGGCACAAATTGGTCAATGTCTAGATCAGGGAACCTTTCAATCGCCTGATCAGCAAAACTAAAGAAGCCATCTACAAAAGCCTTAGTAGCCTCTGTCCTGGCTTTCTCAATCTCTCTACGCTGCATCTCGACTAACCAACATTAGGTAGCCAGAGATCTATTCAGGTCGACAATCACAGCTTAAGACCCTGTCAACTGCCCCACCAGCATTGCCCTGTCGGTGTTGGAGTAGATCAGATCGTCAACCTGGACATCAAAGTCTTATCGCAAGGGAGCCAACTCTTCAGACTGAGAAGCCAGCTGTTCCTGAAGAGATACCTCAGAGGTGGTGCTGGTGATCAGTTACCGAAAGAATCGAGCCCGTTAGTCAAGGGCATTCTCCAGCTCGTTTTTAGTGGCCAAACTCTAGTTTAGGGGCTCGACAATCTGTCGATGAACCTCTTGGAGCTCGGCCCTCCTCCGATGAGCGTCGTCCCTCAGATGATGAATCTCTCCTCCAAGGGCACAAACGTGTGTCGCCTCCTAAAGGCAAATAAAAAGATCACAATGTCACAAAGGTTGGAACATGAACAAATTAAAGGGAAAAGTAGGTCTTACCTCGAGAAGGGCATGGATCGCATCTCGACTTTTAGCTCAGAAAGGAAGGTTGATGGAATGACGCAGATCAACATGCAGAATCAAGTCAATAAGCACGTGACTACTTAGAGTCACGTTGTTCAACAAGCTCCCTTCAAGGTCAACAATCGGATATGGAGTGGCGTGATCCGAGCTGGAACCCACAGCTCTAACAGGAGAAGAACCACGTCCAATTGGCCCTCTTACTAGATTGGTCACAACTATGCCACTGTAGTTTTCACAGCACCAATCCCTAGTTTTGACACTTGCACCTCCTTAGCAATGAGCCTAGGCTTAGAAATTGTACTCTTGCAGCATCAAACAACATCTCGGGCATAGGAGAGTAGCTCAACATCGACAAGGCCATTGATGCCCCACCAACAACACAAAAAACCTCGGGCCCGACACCTACACTTGAGACTAGGCCCGAGCTGCTCTCACCCTTCAGACTTTGGACACATATCCCCTTAACAACCAAGAATGGGCTACCTAGTATGACAGGATGGCTTACAATACCATATATGATAAATTATCAAACCGATCACATGCTTAGTTGAGGTGTCCCGAGCTGCTCTCACCCTTTTTCAGGAGTGTTTGGCCTTGTCAAGGGCATTCTCCATCGTAAATTTTTGTTTACATACTCTAACTAAATATATAAAGCCATAACAACTATCTTCTATCCCGATACTCCCACTATGCAGTCCACCAGCATATGCCCATAATTGAAAATGTTAAATGATAGGGGTGAGCAACCACACGCTTAGTAGGATAATCCTTTTCTCAAGCATTTACAAAGTTTTAAATATCAACATTTCACAAACCATACAAATAAGTAATGAAAACTTTCTATAATTTAGTATAGGAACAAGATAATAAGTAGACCATTTATAAAAATCTCCCAATACATCATCATTAGAAATATACAATGTATAAATTAAAGGTTTATACATTTTAAGCCAAATCATCATAGCAAATATCATGCATGTCTCACATATGGACAATTTAATCAATCACACTGGTTCGCGCATGAACCATCCCCGGAGAACCTTTTGGGGCTTGCACCCTAGGGTCTCATCGCCCTTCTCGCTTTTCAAGGGGAATGTGTAGGGCACAGCTTGTGACACCACATAGGCCATCACCGAAAATCATTACCATAACCAATCCCCCTTAGGACTAGTAGCCGCCTTGGCAACCCACTTAATAGGCCCCAATTGTCTACTAACCCTCTACCTGTCAGAATCGAGCATACATTTTCTAAAAATTATTATTTTCTATATCCATAAATCCTTTTGAAAACACATGTCATAACCTTGACATTTTATTAAACATGTAGTAGACGCAAATCTCAAAATTTGCATTTTCAAAGCAGTATAACCCTTTTCAAGACACTAAGTCATATATATTATGTATAAATTCACACCATACTTCAACACCCCCAAATCATAGGTTTAATCAAATACCCATAACTAAAATCAAACTATGGTTTCAAACCTAGAATACTAAAATCATTTCCATTTTCAAGAGAATAAGTCATATTATGTACAAGATCATAGCATACTTAAAAAACTCCCAAATCATAAGATTAATCAAATACCCATAACTAAAATCAAACTAGGGTTTCAAAGCCATAACACTAAAATTATTTTTTATGCATGTGGGTTCACAATTCATGGCATACTCAACACTAAATCAAGATTTATAACAAGTATTTTGCCATCAAACACATATTAAGCTTTAGCTAAAAAAAACACATCAGAAGCACAATGTAATTGCAAGAGATAGGAATACCCCACCTAGAAATCAAGAATTCCAAGCCAAGTTCCTATGATTTTCAAGCTTAATCTCCAAGATTCTCAAGCCAAGCCTAAGCTCTATAGCCCTTCTTCTATCTTTTTCTCTATTTCTCTCTCTAGTTCTAAGATGGGTGGAGGAGTTTTGGGTGAGAGATGTGAGAAAAATGAGAGAAATAGATTGAATTTTGGGTTTTAAACCTAGCAATTCCCGTCAGAAACATTGTTCATGCCCAAAAAAATGCATTTTATCCAAAATTATAATTTTGCCCCTAAAAATCTCCAATTTGATCCATATGACTATCCTAAAGTTTTTCGATGTTTCGGATTCATTTTAATGTTATTTTCACCTAAAAATGTTTATTTTTATGCGTTATCTCAAAATTAAAGTAAATTTACATTCAAAATACTAAAATTACTATTTTATCCATCTGAATTGCTATATGAGCTAAACGTCTATTACAAGTTTTTCGGACCTCTCGGATTCAATGGTAATATTATTTTGACCTAAAAAAATTAATATATTTATTTAATTACCCTTATCAACCTTAAATACCTCCAAAAATTAAATTTGACCCAAAAGTCAATATGTTCGTACTTCAAACTTACGCGATTATATCTTCAACAATGATTCAAAGTTGCTCTAATCATTTTAAAAATACTATCAAGATAATAAATTTATATGAAATATGAAATATGGGATCTCACAATCCACCCCCGTTAAAATAAGTTTCGTCCTCGAAACTTAGGCTCCCTCGTCTAAGTCTCAATTGTAAACCACCAACCCAACCAAGTGAACTCCATTCATCAACACAAGAATATATGTTCAAGTTTCTGTTGTGAATTCACTAACTTCACCATCACACATTTATATAGGCTGATAATCAACAAATCCACCAATCTCAAACAACGAGTATTACAGTTAATCAAAATATTTTCCAGTCCAATCATGCCATCACATTTCTTCACTTCAATTTCATTCATATAATGTTGTTTCATGTCCCATGATGACGCCTCAAATTTTCTAGTGTTTGCCCCATCATCACAGTTATCATAAGTTCTCAAATTCATATTCATTTTAAGCTATCGAACTTTTCCAATAACTTGTGCGACTACCAAAACTAATTTCTCACCATGATTCACCACTAGGTTGTCGACTTTATTGTTTACTTGTCATCTATGGCAATCATTTAATTCTCAATCTTATAGTCAGTCAAGGTACCATGACACTCTTGCCCCATGCTCCCATCCATACTACTTCAGAGTGCAAGGCTTAAGACATGGTCCGACCCAAGACGTGCATTACTTTATCCACCCAATTTCTTAACCACACCTACTTCATATACTTCTCATACCTGATCAAATACTATTATCAACCTTTAAAGAATTTTCACGCACACTCAGTATTATCGTCACATTATTTTAACTTTTCAATATTACCACTAAAGAATCAAATAAGAAGTCTTGGAAAGCTCTCATTTTCATTCTTGTATAATATATCCTTTATTTAAATCCACTGTATAGCACAATCCTCAAGTTGTTGTGATTTGATGAACACCACAAGATTCTTAATAGTGATAATTTCAAACTAGACACCGACTTATCCAAGAAATTGATTTTTACTTCCCAATTATACTTTTCACCTTCATCCGTGTAATCATAGCCAAATGGTTAACCCTAATAATATAAAATCTAACCAAATGTTTTCACTGCGCACTCTAATACTAATTATAATTTTCCAATTCACTTTTTCAATCTATTATAATCAGAACTAACAACTGATAAAAATTCTCATGGGTTGTCTCTCATAAGTACAAGATGCATCCAAAACCCTAGATTAATACTTTTAGAACTATCAAAATATCTCCACATTTTTAACTAATTCAATCTACCCTATCTATTTCTTCAACTTCCCAATTAGATTTATTACCGAACATTGTCTTCGAGTGTTAGGCCGTCGCCTAATGTCAATTTCAATTTAAAAGTCATTATTGTCTCCCAAGATAGATGTCCAATGCCTTTATGATTACAAGAAAGCGCCTCAAGTAATAACCCATAGCAAAATATTATAGCTTCCTTACGTCCAAGATTACAACAACACATTTTACAGAACTCTTAAGTCCCCATGATTCAATCCAGCAACTTAATATTTCTTGAACTATAAAATATAACCAATATAAAGTTATATTCCTAATGGTCCAAATAATTCTTCAATTCCATACCGCTAATCACCATAACCTTAAAATTTATCATGATCCTCGAGATGATAACCATTCATTGGCTAATAGAGTAATCTTGTACTTTGATCGAAACTTTCATCTGTTAATATCAAAACCACAATGTGTAATTTTTTACATTGATCTACCATATTAAATCGTTCACATCACACCAAACTGCAAAGATCTCTTTTCAAAAATTTATGATCTTCAATACCAACAATTCTCAACTCTGAATTCTTAATATGAAACCTAATGATGGATTGAAAATAGCGGAATATAAACTTCTATATTTCTATAATATTTAACTTCCAACAACATTAAAAGATCCCACACCAGGACAAGAGTTTATGTTGAATATTGAACATCTTCTTAGTTCTATTAGTCGCTCAATATAAATGTGAAATTTGGGTAAATTTAAATTTTTTATGAAAAAGGACAAAATGGTAAATTGCCACTACGGTATGGGTTGTAAACTTGAAATTTTCTAGACCTCAAATGACGAAACGAACCTCACCATTGGATTCATCTCAGAAAATTTAGCTACCTTGTCAATTTTGGTCGAATTCTGATATAGTCATATTTTTCATGTTTTACGAGGCGGTCGAGTCTCGGGTGACCAAAAAATGGGATTTTTTAATAAAATTTTAAATTTTGGAAAATAATTTGAGGCAAGTTAAAATAAAAATATTTTGAACATAAACAAGGATGAAATTTAATCATTTCAGAGCGGAAACGGACCCGGGGAAAAAGAAGACGTGTGTGGCGCATTGTGGGCCAAGTGTTTTGAGGGTATAAAAAGGGGAGAAATATCAGATTTCTCCCCATTCTTCAGCCGATTTCAACGTGAGAAGTGAAGAGAGGGAAAAAAAGAGAGTTCTCACCTTCTCTCTATGATCTACGAAGATTGAGTGATCGAATCAATTCAAGTCAAGAACAAAGATTGTTCTACGCGGTGAAGGCTACAAAACTATATCATGAAGGACAGATTTCACCAAAGTTTCAAACACGAGATTGGAGAAATCAAGGGTTTTGGGTGAGATTGGGATTCTTATAGCTTCTCAACATGTTTTTATGCTTCAAGAGGTAGGGTTCCCTCCTACTTAGGGTGTTCATATGGGATGGGTAGGTGTATAGTCATATATATCACTTATCTATTGTTATGGAAATGGGAAAATGGGTATAGAATGGTTTAAAATAAATTCTTAGCTTAGAATTAATAAGTGAAAATTACTTGTGTAATTTCATGGAATTTGGTATTATGTGGGCATGCTATGTGTTTATATTATGCATTATGAATAAAGTATGTTATTGACATAGATTGTGTAATAACATGTTTGTGAATTATTGTTGATGCATGTTAATATATTAGCATCATGATAAATTGTGGTAATTATATGCTTAAGATATACATTGCCATGGAATATTTTGATATGCGATTTAAATTGCTCATTTGACAT